CGGTGGGGGGGGGGGGGAGGGAAGAAATAAGAATCTGAAAATAATGTACAAATGTATCATCATCTAAATGCTCGCACAAGATCATTTGAACTAGAAGTTCGAAAAATAATTCATTTAAATGCATTTATTAAACAAAGGGATCAATAATATCTCACACAAGTTTCAAATGCTCCAACTCAAGCTAACGTCCTTAAGAATAATTAATATGATATTTGATGGTACGCTTAAAACGTGATAATATTCGATTCTAATATAAAAATCTCCAAGCAAAACTGAAGCAATTAGTAAAAATAGCCCATTAAGGAAACACATGCTCTTGATTAGTATTTAGATATAAAAAGTTTTAGAACTTTAGAAGAGTTTCAAGTATTTAAAATAATGAAACTTGAGATATTCCAATAAGTTATGCCATTATGAAAAAAGAAATGGAATCTAAGAGAAAAGTTGTCGACAATACTTTTGCATATGATGTACTACATCATATTCATATTATAAATAGTGACGAATTGAAATAAATTCATTGAAACATATCAAACATATCGATCCTAGTAATGATTAGTCAAATAGAATGATGCGATCATACTAAAATTAATTTTACTAGGTAAACTTGAAATTTATGAACGGGATCCTAGTAAAATTGAACTTACTAGAGAAATCTGAAGTTTCTGGATCTACAATTCGAACATCCAAAGGTGTTTATTTATGCAAAATGAAAAAGTAAAGTCGTAATATAAAATGTAAGAACTCTTTACATAATGAATTTTGTGAAAAATTATTTAAATACTTAAGTTATCATGTGGTGTATGTAATCACTAATCTCTACGTTGTTAGTAGACAATGCATGAAATTCAATATGTACATAATAAATGTAATTATAGTCAATTTATCTTATATTAATTTAATACTATCATTGAAGAATTTAATATGCTTGAAGAATAATTCAAGTGATATTATTGTGAGTGAAAGTTAATACGCGTTATACTCTTTTTTCTCTTAATCTATATTTTGTTCCATTGGGTTTTCTTGGCAAAGTTTTTAATGAGACAACTTTTGTAGTGTATTCAAAACAATAATATACTCTTTTTCTTTCATTTTGATTTTTTCTATCGAGTTTTTCCTAATAAGGTTTCAACAAAACATATTTTTCGTGCAATGAATGTCCATAACATACAAGATATTTACCCTCAAAATAATGCTTTTATATATATGAAACTCCTGAAAAAATCAACAAGAGCTATTTTTTAAATTATTATGTTAATACAGTCATTAAAGATTGATAACTATCTCGTATGAAGATAGTGTTGTTTCAAAACTATATAAGACAACATGAGACATTTCACTAGAAATTACAATATTGAACACATTGATGTACAAGATAATGATGAACTGATATAAAAATTGAAATCAAGAGTAAGAATACTCTTTTTTTTCCTTCGATCAAGTTTTGTACCATTGGATTTTATTGACAAAATTTTAACGAGATAACATCTTACTACTACAAATTATTTGTATTCTTTTTTCAATTGTTAGCATTTTTGTCCAATCGAATTTTCGCCAAATAATGTTTCAATGGGATAGTTATTATATGAATAGTCATTCAAGGGGGTGTTGTAAATATAATATCATTTATGAATAACTTTTATTACCCCTACAATCCTGGTCATTATGATTGTTTTATCCCTTGTAGCCCTATGAAGTTTTGGTTCTTAATAAAGTACACAAATTCATTGACTTCTCTCTTTTGTTCTCTATAATTTATAACATATATTACATTTTTAACATATTTTTGCCAGATGATAACTTGTTCGAGCACTTCAATCTTGAATTTCTAATACTCGTTTGATCTTTAGATGAAATTGAATGGTTCATTTTTTAATTTTCAATCCATGTGATACTACCCTTTTAAGAGTTGACATGCCGTTAATGAAGTCAGGTTAGAGCAAAAAGTTTGCTTGTTCATTCAAGTAAACAAAAGCATGCCAAGGTTGATCACCTTGCACAACATGTGTAAAGACATATTGCTTTGTTCATTACAAGTCGTAAGCCAGTGTTTTAAAAGACATAATGAAGGTTCAAACCTTGCAAACTTTAGCGTCTGGGCAATACCTATACGTGTCAAGGTTCAAAAATTAGATCATCGTGTCTTTAGCCTAACATCCAATGCTCGAGCACAATTGGCAAAGCATTACACATATTAAAGTATTCTCGACGAAATTGACCTGAAACCATAAGACAAAAAATACCCATTCGTCTTTTATAATGTGTGACGTACACTTCATCGCAAGAAAATATTACGGTTCAATCTACAGTAAATAATAACTACAAAGTAACATCACTGTCGACAAAATTTGAAACAAAAGAATAAAAGTGCAGAGTTGGTGGTTATTCTCATTCAGAAATCATTATTGTAGTGACAATTATCAAACGACTTGGTAATTCTCCGTCGACAGCACTGTTCTCTGAGAAAACTTGGGTGGAGTTCCACCTCTCAATGGTATAATGTTCAAAACCTGCAGAGGTTAATAGTAACCGGCCGAACGCAATAGAAACCAGTTAGTAGCAAGTACATATGGATGAGGAAAACTACGTTTAATTAGAAGCAGCGTGCCTAAAAATAAAGTCTATTACTTTCCATTGTTTGAGGAACACCAAGGACTATTGAAGACGCAATAGGTAGGAAGGGTGCCAAATGGATGGATTTTTTTATAGGCCAAAACCAAACTTATCATTCAACTAAATGAGAAATAAAAAGTAGAATACAAAATTAACCAACTTAACTACTCTCAACAAAACTAGTTCCCATAGCGAGTTCATGGACCACTTTGTTCCCATTTATGAAATTTTAGTATGGTAAAATAGGCGCCGATTTGATTTCATTTTTTCCCACCTTGTACGTATATCAGCTATTTTCAAATAAATAAACAGCTAAATTTATTGAAACAAATGGCAAGGGTACCAAAAGAGCATAATCGACTGGATCTGGCAGGTTCAAGATTATTATAATTATACAGGTCAATCCAACTGCTCATACATAAAGACGAAATTTTCCACCTTCTTTTGCCACCCCAAGTTGTATGGAGGTAGGGACATGCAAACAATTCTTGAGAGTAAATTATAATGAAATCTCAGTGTTGAATACTAACTGGCGATACTTTTTTGATGTATGAAGAGGGTAAGCAAAAGTTTGTAAAGCTCATTAAATTTCTTTTTAGACAAGTATTGATTGATAAGGGCAAGATGCTGAAATTAAAGGAAAGGACGAAAAACCTTCAGATCACTGAAAGTGCTTGTAGCCGTAAATCGGACAGAAATTGGGAAAAATGCTGATGTATCTACAGGAGGGACAACAAATTCCATAGATCCGCTGCCAATTTCCAAATATCCAATCAAAACCATGTAAAAGAGGGTAAGCAAAAGTTTGTAAAGCTCATTAAATTTCTTTTTAGACAAGTATTGATTGATAAGGGCAAGATGCTGAAATTAAAGGAAAGGACGAAAAACCTTCAGATCACTGAAAGTGCTTGTAGCCGTAAATCGGACAGAAATTGGGAAAAATGCTGATGTATCTACAGGAGGGACAACAAATTCCATAGATCCGCTGCCAATTTCCAAATATCCAATCAAAACCATGTAAGCAAACTATATTTGCCGTCTAAGGTAAAACTGGAATTACATAGCTGACCTGCGATTTGAGTTATCAATGAGAACTATAGACCACTCCAAAACTGAATTTTTGGAATCATATCTGCAATTTAACATCATTGAAAATGCTTAACACTTCCATATTTGAATAGAACTTAAAATTGACTGGCAAGTTAAACAAATAGAAGTCTACAGTACCAAGATATCAAGATGGCCTAATGCAATTGCCATAGAAAACCCAATTCTTGACACCAATGACTAAAAATTCTATTCACTAATTTCATTTCATTTAGTTGAGCCCTGTTTATTTTCACTACAAGCTTTCACATCTTTCTAAATTACCTTCAATCAGTCTACTTCTGGACTACAACATATGGCATCCTCATAAGCTATCAAATTTTACCTATCACTATCATCATCAGTATATCTAGGGGATGCAAGCATGCCAGAGGGGCAGATGCTTCATAATAAACTCTTTCAAGCATTAAAAAGCTAAATGTAAAATATAAATCAGAACTGAAGTGCTCATCGTGTTCACCAAAACATAAAAATGAACAAGATAATTTTCATCTTCCACAATATCATGAAATAGATTCCGCGCTAAATTTGATCATTCATTCACAAGCAGGATATGAGCAGTTCATGAAAGGTTCGATGACTTGGTTTTGGTCTTCCTCAATAGCACCATCACGAAAATGTGCAAAAAACTTAACTCTAGTAACTGCTACTACCCTCATCTCATCAATATCGTGCCATCTTTATTTGGAGGTGGGAACCGGGCAAGAGCCAGTCTTAATAATGAACAAAATGGAGTGCAGAGAGGATTCAAGTAGCTCACCCCAAATTTATTGGCGATAAGTTTTAGTTTTATCGTTGCCTGTTGCTTTGATGGGGAGCTAAAATCACCCCATCCCAACCTCCGCCCAAAGGCAAGAATAAGCAAAAAGAATGTTATTACAATGCACATGTACAAGAGCCAATCCTATCCTATATACCAAATAGTGGCATCCACAATATGCAAGAGATCTTTCAGAGACAATAAGAAAGAAATTTTAATGCAAATGAAAAAAATAGCTCCAAATTTCTTCTCTGAAAGTGTTGTAAAGTGTAATGATATTATTGGAGGCACTATCTCCATGCTTAAACATCCAAAGGAATATTCCCTTTCTAAGGGCAATAATGAAGACAAATCGAAAAACAGAGACAGTAGAAAGCAGAAAATTTGATAAAAGACAATGCATCAGGTTCAGTTGTCCCAGATGATGCAAGCAACCCATGCACCAGAGTCATAATTTTACAGCCAAATCACAATAAATAATTATAAATGTGTTTATCCAACATATATTAAAAAATCTTTACTGAAGATTTTCTTAGAGTTACCATATATGGAATGAACAAGGATAGAGCATTGCATAGCACATAATCTGTACACGGCAATTCTTAAAAAAATTGATCAAGACACTGGTGCAACGCGAGAGTAGAAAAACATATAGAGCTCCACATTTGTCTAGTTAAACATATAAACCACCAAATAAAACTTAAAATTATGCAAAAAAATTATCAATGTGATATAATCCAACAGAAGATTAAGCCAACAAGTTAGATAGACATCAAATTATGCAAATAACCATTGCATTACTGAAAGGATTTTAGAATCATTGTCTCCATCATTAAAATTCCATATAACACTCCATCATGCATGGTTACTTTCCGTATCTGACCCAGGTATGATTAAACAAATGTCATCATCATTAATTTTCAAGCAGCTTTTCCATGTCAGTAATATGCTTGTCTGTCTGCGTCTAGGACAGGCGTGTTTGTCAAAGTTATTGGACCATGCACAGCATAAAAATATTACTCATATGTTACCATTCCAGTTAATCAGGGCCACTCTCAGAGAACGAGACCCAAAAATGTGAATTGCATGACACCAATGGAAAGTGTAGTTTACCCAAATGAGAAGATAAAATGAAGCCTCACCTCCATTCCCCATCTATCTGCTGTACATTTGGTGCTTCTCGAAGTGCTGGAAGAGGTACAGCAATCACAACATTCTGCAGATCAAACATTTGTGAAGCTTCATACTCCATGCTCACGTAGGTTTCATTTCCAGAAACAGAAGGCCAGCAGTTAACTGTCTCATCAAGATGTAAAGTAGATCAATACAAAAGACATAAAATAACATATGCATTTTAAGGGGTGTGGTGGGATAACAATAATAAGGCTCACTTGATAACGGTACAAGTGATTCATCTGCACTTTGCATTCTCCATCTCAAGAGACTAACACCGTCACCAGCTTGCCCAGTGGGAAATGGTCGATTCTGATCCTTGAGCCCCACAATATTTTCATTGGAAAACAATTCCTTGTTGATATTGGGGTGTGTCTTGAAAAGGATTCCTGGATTATCACCAGTTTCAATCTGAAAATAAGCCAACATGAAAACACGCTATTAGATAAATTTTGAGAGTATGAGCTGAGACACTACGAAGTAAGAAGTATTTTGAACACATCTGAAAACAAGCATGTAAATGATTATGGATGCATCTAACAAGGAAGCAAGTATAAGAAGCAGACGCATGAGGAAACAAAGATGCAGAACCTGAACTTGGATGAGTCCATCATCCTGATTAAGAATTTGGAGTGCCAAGGTACCCTGAACATCAAAGCTTCCTATACCACCATCCCGTTTCAAAGTTACATTAAGCTTTTCTTCAACAGTCAACGTAACAGGATCAGTTGGTGGTGGAGCTGTTGGTTTCGACTGGCCAACGCTTGGTCTAACATCTTCAACAATCACTTCACCTTCAGCTTTCAGAGATTCCAAAAATTGGTTGGTCCTTTGTGTTTTTCCTAGCTGCATACCAAGACCTTTAGGTGGAGCTGTAGCAGATGCTGGTGGACGACCTGATCACACATATTAGTCAGCAACATGATCTTCTAGTACAAAATGTAAGAAAGCACCTATATCTAACCAATGCCTATCATCGTAAATATTTAAATTTAGAGAGCACCAGAAACAAAATGAGATCTAGCCAAATAGTAATTCATAGACTACCACAGATTTTCAGAGCCTCTTAGTTGATTATGGTTCATCACGCATATATATTTTATAATGAAAGCTATTCTACATTAGGGCAGATGGTACATGTCAGCTGTTGGCTGTCCAAAGCAACTGCCAATACAAATTTTTCAATGCGATAATACTAACATACTGTTTGAGCTCCATTGTAATTAGTTTTTGGAAAAAAAAGGTATTTAGTAATAGTGATTTTTTGAGGAATGTTTGGTTAAAAAATAAGAAAAATTTTTGGGTTTATGACTAATATTAATTTATTGGAAAATGTGTGATTCAAAAGAAGAGAAAAAAATGCAATCTGAAATTAATGGAGCCCAAACAGGGGCTAAAAAACATACATCGTAAATAACATTTGCAGATAATTTACGATAAAAGTTTCCATAAATCTTTTCCTAAAAATGATGTCAAAAAATATTGTTTTATGAATTAAATCTTGACCAAGTGCATATACATTGTGAAAAGAATCAAGAACTTCAGCAGTGATACAAAATTTTATTATATATTCATGCGATATTTATTAATGCAAAGACAACTTCCATCTTCCTTCGCCTGTTTACGCAATTCTATCAGATAAGTTTCCATATTCTAAAAGAAGATTATCATGATCAGCAACATCGAAAATGTAAGCAATGTTAGGAGCAAAACACTGACCTCCACAACTCTAAAATCAGAGTTGAACTCATGTACTTGATTTTCTCAAATTAGAATGTTTAAAATGACTGATAAAAAAGGTCAAACTTTACATGGGTTGATTGAAGCTTCTAGGTAGATTTAAGTTATCTTGTTTTTAGTATTTGTGCAACCACTGCACCCCAAAAACACACACACCCCACCCCAACCCCCAACCACATAGAAAAATAATATATAACGGTAAAAAAGTAAGAAGTTCCAAAAGAGTACTTCAAGAAAAAAATAGCAAAGATACTTTGCAAGGGTAAAATGTATTCAACTATGATAGGATGACTTCCAATTTGTTTGCAAGGGTGAAAAGATACTGTCGCATTATAAAACAATGCAGATACACACTACAAGATAAGCATAACAAGGAAAAGGATAAAAACAAAAATCAAATCTAGATCATTCTGCGTTGTGATCTACTTTTAAAAAAGCAAAATAATAACGCAGAATAATATATCTCAATATTGCATTCTAAACTGGATGAATTATATTGAAATGTTAATAATGTAGTTAAATAACTCAACTATTCAAGCAGTGATTATACTCCAAAAGGAAGCTCATTTTCACCCACAGAGAATTCACATACAAATTGTACAATCTTTGTTTCACAAATCAGAGCAAATTGAAAAGCTCCGCCTTATCACTGTGAGGTAAAACAAACACAAACCTTTGGACTTGGTGGAGAAGGAATCCACATCAGCGCTTAACCCAAAGCCAGAACCACCTCCAAAACCACCACTACTCGATATGCTAATGCTATTGTCATTACCAAAGCCAGAGTCAATTCTTCCTGAACCCATGGACTGTAGAGACATGTACCCTCCTTTCTCACCTCTGTTCTTCTCAATCTACAAACAATTTACAATTAATAACTATAGCGATCATTTTAATAACAAATTAAAAATGATGGGCAGAAGCAACATAAAAATCAGTTCTCTGCTTGAGCAGTTACTTTGCTTTTGTCAATCTCACTAGCTTTGCGCTTCATAACATCCTTGGTTTCATTGATTTTGCTTTGCAAGACCAACTTGTGCAATCTCTCTTCATGACTTTCCATCTCACAGTACTGTTTGACTTGTGCACCAGTAACACTTTCTTTGTGCCCAAGAGAGATGACTTCATCAAATGCAAAGAGAATTTCAAAAGCTGTCCTGCCAATGCCCTCTTCATCCAGGGAGTAAGAATACTCAGGTACCTATTAATAGTTAGGGAATCTCTGACACCGCTCAACTATGCAACATTGCAAATTATAGAATCTCATAATTCATCACGTTTAGGAGACTTTACTCTAACAAATTGAAGAAACAATTAATGACTTTTTAAAGAAAAATATCACTAATTTTGGCATTAGTCATATGGATAAATCAGCAAGCCAATTTTTCAACTAGGTCAAGAAGGTAAAAAAATATATAATTAATCTTACGGGTAAACAGATGCAATATCAAAACTACAGAAAGTGTAAAATAATGCAATAAATGGCAGATTGTACAAAGGATACAAGTTTTGAGAGCAGTCTCAATGTCTCCAAATCTTCAAGAATATTGCTCTGTTTATTTGTCACAAGAAGCAAGTAAAGCGACTCCATTGGCTGATAAACATACCGCACATTTTCGGTTTCAATGTAGGTATGCTGTTTTCCTGTTCCAACCAATTTTGGGAAAGCTGCAAGATATCCCTCAATACGTATACGAGACATATCAACAAATTGCCTCGAAACGAGTGCTGTGAAGGACATAAGATGATGCAGTTAAAAGTGTGCATCTCATTTTTGCCATGAATAACTATGAAAAAAAAAATCTAATTATTTTAAACAAAGTAGAATTTAAACAAAAACATTAGCCTAGGATCGACTTTAGACTTTTAGTAAACTACTAACTCAGCATGGCTTTAAGTGCCAACTTCTAAAAAACATAAACAAATTCTCCTTTTAAGTTCAATCATTAATATTAGCAGATGGAAAGTACAGCAATAAAAATCGTTCTATCCTAAAATCTAATAGCATAACTAAAGCAAGCTGGTGTCCATGAATATAATTTCAGAATATCAATAATAGGGTTTAAAAAATCATATATACTAAGAAACTACCTTTGCCAGATTTACTGATAATAGAAGCAGCAAGTACAACCTGCATCAACAATAGTAATGACAATCAACAGATATACAAAATAAATGTCAAAAGTAAATGAAATCTTCAGTAAAGACTAAAGAATGTGAACCAAAAGCGTAAAACAAATACCATATTGATCCTCTAGAAATCCGATCACAGCAAGTAAAATTGTTCCTGATTCACACCTGCAATAGCACAAGGACATAAATCTCACAAAACGAAAATACATGTAAAAATGAAGAAACTAAAACTCAGGCGAATCAAACCTTTCACGGACACTAAGCCAAGCTCACACAGAAATATACATTTCCATAAAACTGAAAACTGGGATCTAATGCAATGTATGATTACAGTTTGATAATTATGCACATTTAATCTAATATACCTACAAATATACTGACAGATTACACTGTCACAGAACATAACTTTTCAAATCAATAAAGACCGAAGGTGAGTAAGGAGAGAAAATTGGACCTGAATTAGATTTCAATCAGATCGGATCGTGAAAAATCTGGATCTAGAAGGAATTATTTTCACTTACCTGCTTATTAAATCAATGGAGAGAAACGGGCCAGAGACGTAGAGACGAAGCCGAATGTTGGGCATTTTATAATTAGGATATATTGTAATTTCAGTCCCCAACCTTTACTTCCTTCGTTGTTAGTTCCCAATCATTTGTTTTTGACACTTTTACGCCATTAATTAACGCCGCTTGACCTGGGACAGTTTTCGTCCAATTAATAGCCCCTATTTCATTTATATTTTTAGCAGCTGTTGATAAAATATGATAAAACGTCTGATTGAAAAGTTACGAGTCTTATAAAATATGTAGTTAAAATTAATTATTGACTTTAACTTACATTGAATCTAAATTTTAATCCCTATCGAACAGAGACTAAGTGTGTTGATGCATTGATGATTAATCTTTTCATAAAACCACATATAATGCAAAATGCATGATTTAACGGCTTAGTCCATGTTTGGTTTAGTTTAAAACGTTAAATTAAAATAGGAATTTTCAAGAATGTCCAATTTTAAAGGTGTGACTTGAAAAGTGTCATATTTTGATAATTCTTGCAAAAATGTCCAAATTTAATATCAAATTGTCTACTTTACCCTCATGAAAATATTAATCAATTTGCCACAATTTTCAAGAAAAGCCAATAGCTTCCATGAAAAGCCACATTAATGTTGCTATTACTTAAGTGACTACACTTACCTACATTTTCAATTAGATTTTAATCAATTATTCTAGAACAAATGAAGAAGAAGTAGAAATTTCATTAACACATACAAAGAAGTATATGATTCGAACTCCAAAGAAATCGTTTTATTTGATTTGGAGAAATTTACTGTCGTCGAAATTTGAAGTTGATTAGGCTCTCATCATTTTTCGGTCGAAAGTATATTTCTTCGAACTCTCCTTTTTTTATAAGTTGTATTTAATACTTGTTATATACGTTCAAATCTCAATTTTTTTTTATAAGATATTTTTTCACTTCAATGGATTAAATTATCCAAACAAAGAGTAGATATTTGTTGTACCATTCATCTTAAATAACTTAGTTAGATAATAACTTCTACATTTAGAATATTATTAATGGTGGAATAAATTCTTTGCAAAAATGGTGGTTAAAGTTGAAGAATATGATAAATGTATGGAATCCCGTCATTTCATTCTCAACATTTAACGATAGTATAAATGTCGTTCTTGACATTCATAAACGCCGAGAATGGTATTTATACTATGATTCTTGACATTGTCAAATGTCGACAATAACATAAAAAACTTGATAAAGTTGGGAAAATTTCGTGTAATATATGCAGGTAGCATCTTCGTTTTCAATTTTCGTTGGTGGCTGACATTATTTTTGTTTATGACATGCAGATATGGGAGATGTTAAGAGATTTGTTGTCTCGTATGATGGTAGATTCGTCAACATAGACGACGGGTGGAAGTGGTTAGGAAACCGAACAATATCAATTGTTGTTCTACGTGATATTACATATGAAGAGCTTGTACATAAATTATTCGATAAGCTGAACGTTGACAGAATGATGTTTCGAATTCAATTGAAATTTACAGTTCCAAACATGAATATACCCCCTGCTGATGTAGCCGACGAAGAGGATTTGCAACGTATAAGCCGTTCATAGAGAAGCAGTGTTGTGTATAATTGCAGATGAATATGATGCCGAAGAGCACGAATCGCATGTTGGAGTTGAGCCTTTCTCACTAATAGAAGATGCATTGTGTGGACGCGATGAAGTCGGTATGTGCAAACTACAAGAGCCACTAACAATTGATAATACAGATGAAGGTTTAGGTAAAGGGAATTTGTATATTCAAAATGCAATTTAGTCGATTGATAAAGAGGACATTGCGGAGAATCAAATATTATTTAGCAAGCAACAGTTATACACAAGGCTTCAACTTAAGGCCTTGAATGAGAAGTTTCATTTCAAGATTAAAAAGTTGAATCCTAGATCTCTTACTGTGTGTCGTGTCGATACTATATATCATTGGCTAGTGCGAGTTTCGAAGATAAAAACTTCAGAAATTTTTATGATTCGAGAGTACATACCTGAGCACACATGTTCTCTAAACATTCGATGAAATGCACAAATTCATACAATGAGTGCACTAATTGGGCATTACATAATGCGAAGGTTAGATGAAAGAAACCAACCATACGTTCCTGCGGGTATTATCGAGGATATGGAACGTGAGTTTGGTGTACCGATTACCTACAACAAAGCGTGGAGGGGTAAAGAGAAGTGACTTCGATTTCTTCGTTCGAAGAAAGTTTTCAGAAATTGTCATCATACTGTCACATGTTAGCCAAGAAAAATTCAGGAACCATTGCACACATTGAACTCGACTCCAATAACAAGTTCTTGTACTTCTTCTTAGCGTTCAGGCCGATGGTACTTGGTTTTCGAGAGTACATGATGTCAGTAATTTGTGTTGATGGAAGTCATTTGAAGGGGCCAGTATAAGGGAACATTACTAATAGCTGCAGCGCAAGATGCTAACCTGCAAATATATCATCTTGCTTGGAGTGTCGTCAATATGGAAACAAATGCATCGTGGTATTGGTTCTTCACGAAGTTGAAAGATGTCGTTGATGACTCAAATCAACTAGTGTTTGTCTCGGACGGGAAGAAGAGTATTAAGCAAGCAATTACGAGGTTGTTCCCGCTTTCTCACCACGGTGCTTGCATCTAGCATATCGAGAAAAATTTTATTGCTAGGTATATCAGTAGCAATGTCATATTCTTGTTCAAGCGCGCAGCACTAGCATACCACATATCGAAATTTGATCAGTTCATGGCACAGATAAGAACCATTCGACCGTCAATGGCATCTTACTTGGAACATGCCAGTCTATCCACCTAGTCACGAGCAAATTTTGTTGGTAATCGGTACAACGTTATGACGAATAACATTGCGGAGTCACTAAATTCAGTTCTAAGGCGACAACCAAGTTACCCTATAACCTCGTTGGTTGAAAATATTATGTCATTGATGCAACGATGGTTCTACAAGACAAAAAGCGCATCCACCAAATGTAATACGACCGTGACACCAAAAATTGATGATGAATTGAGAAAATCGTTTGACGTCGATGCAACCTTACAAGTACAAAATTTGGAAGAACTCGTTTTTGAGGTAGGTCTAGCTACCGAACTATGTACTGTCAACCTTATAAGTAACACATGTTCCTGTCGAGAGTTTCAGATGCGACAAATCTCACGTTCACATGCATCCCAAGTTACTTGCGCAAAAGGAAAATTACTGTATGATCTGTGCTCCCCTTATTACACCACGGAATGTTGGCATGCTACGTACAACGAAGTTCTTCACCCCGTTGGCCGAGAGTCAGATTGGATTGTTCCTCAGTCCATTCGTTTCGTCGAAATTCTGTCCCCAAATATATGTAGAGCACTAGGTTGGCCTCCTACCCAACGTCAATGGTCAAGAACTAAAATGTCAAGTTTGACACGAAAATGTGGTCGATGTGGGGGTTCTGGACATAACATACAAACATGTAAGAATCCGACACCTTTGAGTGACACGCATAATTGAATGACATTGTATATTTCGATCGTTAAATGCTCTGATAAAATGGATTACCAATGTTTTGAATATACTTTTGTGCATTACTTGCTTTCTATCTTAGTTGATGAAGACATGTTTTGAATATATTTTTGACATTTACTTCTTCATGTTTCTTTCTTCATTCTCTCTTCAGAGCACTTATATGCAATTGCTTATTTTAAATTTAGGCTCGTAATACATTCTCAATCCTTCATACAAATTCATCCTATTTTTGGTGATTTTTCTCTTATATTACCCTTGTCATTCAAAATTTTATAGCGCACGAATAGAAAAATTCGTATGGGCATTTCATCAAGTACAAACAAGAATACCCAGGTAATGTAAATAGCTAAAAACAAGGAAAATGGTGATCACGTATATATTCTTATGAGCATTTCATTACCATACCATTTCGTCTATCATATAAGTGAACAATCTTATATCTAATTCGTCATTAGGATTTTCTTAATCATTGTAAACAAAATATGGTAATAGATACAAAAGCAAGTCATGAGTGACTCGTTCTACTAAGTCACTAGAGCAAACGAAATGGTAATCACAACAAAAGGAAGCCATAACTCTAATGCATGTCGTAGACGACTACTATACAAAATGGTGATAACCCCGAAAAAAATCCATCACCTATATGGATTTTACAGTGCTAGTATATGTACTTAAATATTTCACTTACGAAGATCACATCTTCTACATATCCTCCACCACAGACAAAGATGACATATCACTATCATACTTCTCGTTAGAGCTTATGATGATCACATCTTCATTTTCTGTGGGAACAACTCCGACATTTTCGTCCAACAATACATGATGTGCTTCCGATTGGATCTCACGATGAACTTGAGTTGGCTCAATTTCATCTATTAGATTCGGAAAATGAATGGGTTCACGGCAAACCCTACGATGGCGGTTCGAAGGTTGACGAACATATGGAACGAATGCATTACTTTGGTCATCCGAGTTCGAGTCTATGATGATCGGGTTGTCTGCGGACGAGCCGAGGAGGTTGAAGGTGATAGTAACATCGATATGAGGAGTACGCTGAATTGATGAAGACATAATTGATGGAAGAACTAGGTAGTACTATGAATTTGTTGAAATAGTCATGTGTGCATATTGAAGCAAAGTTGTATTTTTTTATAGTGGAAGTTGACTTGTCTGTTGAATGCATGAGAAGATGTCTCACCAACCCATTTGTTTCTTTCAACCATGTCATTATGTAGTTATTGTTGTTTCACATCATTATGGTGGAGAATGTATTTGTGCTTGGCACACCAATATTAATTAACATCTGAGTTGCTATAGTAATTATAACTTTTGCAGTAAATAATCCAATTTGTTCGGTCGTATATTGGTTGCAATTAACTGTTCATTAAATTTCCTTGGATTGCCTTTATCTAGATATTTGATGTCATTCTAGACATTTGGAACGTCGTTCTCGATATTAAACTGCTGTTAATCTCGACGCTTGACATTACAGTG